AGCTCCCTGCCTGCTCCACCGAGCCCGGTCCGTTAGCAGCGTCTCGCCGCCCGGCATCCGTCTGTGGGTGCTTTGCCGCCTGGGAGCTAAATAGCTTCGGAAATAAAGCTTTGCTCAACTCGTAGTCCCGAGCATCCTGTTCGCATCTCTCCCTGAGAGCCGATCTGGTGGGTGTAAGTCCCTTTCCAGCTGCCAAACTCATAGACGTTGCTCAGCAGGTTCTAGTGACTCCCTTCCCAGCTAATTTGGCAACTGTTTTCTTACAAGGAGATGCGGATGGTACTGACAGAGCGTGAGGCACTTGCCTCTTGCAGCAGGAAGAAATGGCATTGGTAGTAAGTGGGTGTGTTGGTTAGTTGAGGCAGTTGGCACCGCTCTAACAGGGCTGCTGCTGTGGGGAGCATTACATTGCCCCGGAGTCAATCGCTTGACCCCGCTTAGTGAGCTTTCTGTAAAATATCTAAAAGTCTGCACTGGGAGGGAGCAATTCTTCCACAAGGCAGGGCTGTGACTCTTGGCAAGAAGGGAAAACAGCGCTTTGCTGCTCTTAGATCTTCTCCACAGGCAGGATTGTTCCCTGCAGCCACAGTTTAGTTTTTGTTTGCTTCAGCTGGAGGCTGGACAGCCCCCTGTGGTTTCAGCATAGCTTCCTGTCCCTGGCTACCCTGTGCAGTATGTGGCCCAGCAAGTCTAGGCTCGTTGCTTTTCTAGTCTTAACTGCCTTGAAAGAGACCCACACCCTTATTTAGACAACAGCACAGTATGTGAATGTGTCTTTCTTAGAGCTGGAAAGGTGGTAGATGGTAAGAGAGGAAAACCTTCTGCAAGTACTCTTTTCTCACTGCATAGCTCCGCTGCCCGAGAGCTGAGCTGACAATTCAGAACTTCCCTCTGTTGGCCTTTTGCCACCATAAGCACCGCTGTGGTTAGGAGCTGAGCTAGAAGGCAAGGAGAGGGCTGTTGCCTCTCCTGACATGCAAATCAGTGTCCAGAGGAAAAGGAAGCGCTTAGTGTTGGCAGCCCCATTTAGTCTGCCAGAGTACTTGGCTTCCTGCAGGCTCCAGCCCTTTCTCAGTCGTCCTTAGACCGAATCAGTGGGAAAATTACTTCAGTGTTGGCTATATGTTCTCCTTGGAAGGCTGGAGCCTGCTGTGGTTGGAGTGAGCTTGATGAGTACCCGGGCCTTTCTGTGACAACCCAGTCTGGCTCCAGCCCTTCCTGGGAAAGTTCTGAGAATGTTGGTGTACAGACAGTCCTGATCAGGTCTGGTTCTCCAGAACTACCAGGCCAGTGACCAGCTTTCTTGTACTCCAAAGAAGTCAGTAGCTTGCTTCCTTAGGTCTCTTGCAGAGAGAAGATATGTGAGGATATGGAAGAGAGTCAATGAAAAACTAATTGACTGATGGAGGGTATCAGCATGCAGGAAAGGAGGCAGCGACTTTTGTTCCCAGTCCCGTTTCTGTGTGCATTGGGTGGATGGAAGCTGCTGGATAGGGTGGGAGTGGGATGCTCTGTGTGGCATTGTGTGTCATGGATAGGTGAGGGGGGAGACTTTTAATCATCTGCTGGCTGTGCTTTTTTGAAACTGGAACTCTCTCTCTGTGACTGTTAGACTGGCCCTATGCTTTACTGGCAGTAAAAAAACCCCCACCCCCCCCCCCAACAGTATTACCCCCTGTGTCCCTCTCTAGTTTTGTCTTCTGTTTTTCATGATGTGGGATGCAAACAGCAAAAACAAATGTAAAGTAAGTTCCAGTTGAGTGTAGGAATGAATGACAGAAGAGGCTGTGACCTAACACAGTATATTTCTGCTACTTTCCCTCTCTCTGAAGCCATCAGCACGAGCTACAGAGTATCTGGGCAGCTGATGCCTATAGGAGTCCTTGCTGGCACAGCATTTAACCTTTCTGTCTTGTTTCATTCCCTGACCAGGCAGAAGATGGGAACATCGAGTACAAGGTGAGCCTTTTGAGGTTGCAGAAGGAGGTCTTCCTCCCAGAGGGTTATTTTGCAGTGAGTAACTTCACCAAAGACAGCATATGGGGAACATGTCCAAGGAAGGGACAGAAAAGTGGACACTGTATTAAGGGACTATCAGTCATCTTCTGTGTCTCTGTGCCTAGCAACACCCAGTATGCTGAGCTGGAAAAGTTCGATCTCATTACTCATTTTTAGGAATCTGTTTTAGGAGGTGAGACCCACTGTGTTTTTCCTGAAATCTTCTTCCTTTTGAGAGAGAGCTGCAGGTATCCCTGATAATCATTTGTTACTTTCCTGTGGCTGTTCCGCCATTTGCACTGATTTGGCTCCTGTGTCACAGGTCCCACAGTGCTGTCTTTACCTTCCCAGCAGGCAGGGTATAGGTCCCTTTGTCAAGATGCAGAAAAGTTCTTCTACCATATGTATGCACCTTTGTGAAACCCTTTCTCACCTGTCCTGTGGCTTCTGTGCAGACACTAATATGTGCTGTGTTTTCTAGAGGTGGGTCAGAGTTGGGAGCACTGCTTAATGGTGTTGGATTAGGGACTCGCTGGCTTGGGCAATGGGATTCCCTCTGCATCCAGTCTGTGACTATAATTATCCCCCTCCATTAAACAGCTAAAGCTAGTGAATCCCTCGCAATATCGCTTTGAGCACCTGGTGACACAGATGAAGTGGCGACTACAGGAAGGCCGTGGTGAGGCCGTCTATCAGATCGGCGTGGAGGACAATGGGCTGCTGGTGGGCCTTTCGGAGGAGGAGATGCGTGCCTCACTCAAGACACTGCGCCGTATGGCAGAGAAGTACGTGTTCCCTTTCATCTGCAGGACCCGCAGGCATAAACAGCCTCCAGTAGAGAGGCTCGGCCCCAGAAGTCCCCTGAGGGACTCGGCAAACCCCCTGTGTGACTGAAATTCCCTCATCAAGAGGCTCTGGAAATATGAAGGTGGTTATAGGGCTTTTGGCGGGAAGCCTGAGGCTCCTTCCCTGCTATCCCCAGCTTTCATCCTATTCGCTTTTCCAGCTGTGATTCTAGAGTTGCAACAGCTGCCGGCTACAAGTGTGTGTCTCACTCCTTCCTTTTGTGTTTGTGGCAGGGTTGGGGCTGACATTACGGTGCTGCGGGAGAGGGAAGTCGATTACGACAGCGACGTTCCAAGGAAGATAACAGAGGTGCTTGTCCGAAAGGTGCCTGACAACCAGCAGGTAGGGACCTATGACTTGGCCATCCTCTCCTGCTGGGGGCTTAGAGGCTTCACACAAGCAGCTTCCTTTTGGGATGGGAGCCCAAACCCTAGAGGCACCTTGTCATAGACTGGCCCGTGGCAGATGCTTTAAAGAGCTGCCAGAGGGAGGCTTGATGATAACGCTTTTCATCTCCAAGATTGTGGTTGAGGCAGATACCAGCAGGGGAGATTGCCTGGATCAGAGGTGAGAAATTACTTCACTTCTACGGCAACAGTTCTGAACCAGGCCAGTGTGCAAACAAGGAAGGATTTACAGGTCCTGCTGCAGCAAACGGCCTTTTTTGTGATATCAATGCCTGATGTGTCACATCACGACTCTAGAGAGTATATCACAGCTCCTGAGCAATGGTTTGCTGAGCAAGAGCAGAATCTGAGCAAGATACACTGCACAGTGTCTATTGTGGAAGGAAGCTCTCTGAGGCCCATCTCCACTGCCATGTTGTGTTCTTGCATACCAGCACAGCAGTGGTTAACTTTCATGATTTCTCTGTTCTTCTTCCTGTAGTTTTTAGACCTGCGAGTAGCCGTGCTGGGGAATGTGGACTCAGGGAAGTCAACCCTGTTGGGTGTCCTAACGCAAGGAGAGCTGGACAATGGGCGGGGAAGAGCACGCCTCAACCTCTTCCGGCATCTCCATGAAATCCAGTCAGGAAGAACGTCGAGCATCAGCTTTGAGATCCTTGGCTTCAACAGCAAAGGAGAGGTGAGGGTGTGGGCTGCTGA